TTTAGACAAATTTTTTTTTTAATTAAATTAATTAAATTTTTGCATTTTTAGCAGTTTTTTTTTTTTACTTTTTTTTTTTTAATTTAATTTTCTTTAAATTTAGTAGTTATTATTGTTTAAAAAAAAAAATATATATATATATAATATATAATATGTATAGCTTAATTTTTAGATGTCATTGGTTTGAAAAGAAAAATAATTTTTTATTTCAATTAACTGTTAAGAACGTAATTTATTTTTTCTATTTTCAATTTTATTTCACTTTTTAACAGACTTCAAAAAAAAGGAGGAGGTTATCAATTCGTCGGAATATTTTTTTTATATATGTAATCGCATAATTTTGGACCACGACAACCGATTTCAAAAATTTGCATCAGAAAGGTAGTGTCTCAGAGGTGGTCCCATAATAATCTGGTTTAGATCCGATCATTGGATCATGAAAAAATTAACGGTACTCGTAAATTTGTATATGAGATTTGAAGGTTTGAAATTACTTGTTTTTTTTAGTTCAATCTATTTTTGATTTTTAGACGGTAACGCTTTAAAAACCTTTTTTTTATTTTATTTAATTTTAGGCACATAATTTATTTTTTCTTTTTTAGTTTTATTTTACTTTTTCCTTTTTTAGCTCAATTAATTTTAAATTTTGAGATTTCATTATTTTAAAAAGAATTTTTTTTTTATTTTTCGAAACTTATTTTATTTATTTTTTCCTTTTTTGATTAAGTTTATTTTCTTTTTTAGTTAAATTTTCTTTTAATCATTATTCTTTTAAAAAGAAGAGAGCTTTCTAATTAGTCGCCAGAATTGACAATTGGCTTTTGAAAGACAAAAACTGTGGTGAGTGGCAAAAACAGTTGCCAGAATTACCCCGTAAATTGGGCTTGACCATGTGCGCTGTGAACTTTTTATTAATGACGAGCAAGCAGGGTACAAAGTTTAAATTCCTTTCCCACTTGAATGAAGAATTAAAGCCGTCATGGATTCGCCAACAGTTAGCGAGTGGCGAAACGAACGATCTCAATGAGGCACAACCAAACTTGCTATCGTCTCTCCGGGCTAGCTAACTTTGTTATTGCTTGCACATGCGAAATTCTTCTTAAAGCGGCCGGAACTTAAACATAGCGAGCAGAATAGTGGCGAATCGATGACGGCTAACATCACAAAAACGCATACCTGAATAATCATCGATCTCGAGTAGTAAAAATTGCAGGGTTATAGCTATCTTAATTAAGGGGTTCTAAAGCAAACCCTCATATCTGAACTATCAGCTCAATGGGAGCTGTAAGTAATAAACGACTTATAGGCTATCTGAGTGTGCGAGTTATAACACAAAAACTCATATCTGAACAACCAGTTAAGTATATCGGAGCCATACCTCACTAAGACTCGACCCTGCTGACGTTCACTATGAACCCTCTGCTGATAATTACACTGTTTTACGGCAAAATTGTTCTGTTGATGCCACTATCCAATTCCTATGAAGAATTGCTCGGTGATTCCGAAAATGGAGTTAATTTCTTTATGGATACGTTTTCAAGATATTTTCAATTTATCGTTATACCGATTAAATTAAAAATTGGTTCTTTTTAATCATGTATATCTTACGAATCAATTTAACAATCTTAATATAAAGAAAGCTAATAAAACTTGATGTTCATCATGCGTTGTATGGAAATATTTTGTCACTCACCAAACTTCATTTCTCCGACTTACCTACTTATATAAGTAATATGAGCATATTTAGTTAAGTGACTTAAGTGACTTCCATAACAAAAGCAACTTAATATGCTTCATTATTTCAATGAAAAAAAGCTACTTGTAATAACGGGCACTGTCAGTAACGATTTCGTTCTCTTTTCTTATCACCACTCAGCCAACAGCTGTTGTTGATAACAAAAAAAAAACTAAAACTAACTGCAAACAACAACAACGCAAGTACCCAGCGGCGCACTGCTAAATGGGGTCCGTCCACAATTTGCATTGCGTAATTCATACAAATAAATGATTAAATAAGACACCGCTGACCCAATTAAAAATTGTAATGCTTATTGTAGTAGGCAGTCTGCTTACAAAATTCACATTACAATTTACAAACGGTCACATCATACTTTCCGATTACAAACAAAACCAGTATGTCAGGGAGGCTAACCACAAAGCGGCCATGCATATGGCAAAGTAATCTGAGTTGTAATCCATTCATTCCGATAAACCGCTTTCGAAGTTTTGAAGCAGTAATCGATTACGTAATGTGCATTTGCGCCGCTGGGTTATTCTTACTTGAGTGGCTGATTATTGAAGACTTTATTAAAAAAGTACGAGACGACAGCAAATAAAGAGAAACGGCAGACAATGGCAAAGACAAATTTGCGATTATGAGCACAAGAGTGATCGAATTATGCTCACAACAGCAGAATAAAAAACAAAAGCCAAAAGTAGAAGGCATGTGTTTTGACAAAAAAAGTCGTTTTCGCACCAGAAATACAAGACATGTATACAGTTAAGGGTACATAAGTATATATGTGTGTATGTGTATACGAATTTAAGCACCCTGCAGGGAAAGCTAGTAGTTGCGAACTAACTAGAATGCTACCAGTTAGCTTTTTAGCTCAACTATTTCGTCTTCCATACTTTTTTATGCTACCCTGCAAAAATCGTTGGATCATGTAGTCTATTTGTGGTAAATTGGAGTACTTACAAAAGTGTTCCTCTGTCATGCTGTATCGGACCAACTCGTGTCTCTGCGCCAGCTTATTGTTTGTTATCCGATCACTGCTCGTGTTTTAACGAAATGTCATTGAAGTTGGGCATTTGAAAGCACATTTGCATGTCTGGCTGTAGCTGAACGTGTAGAGATGCTCGCTGTTAGTTCTTAGCTCCCAGCATGTTCGGGTTCAAATGCCATCAGAGGCAACATGTAATTTTTAATTTTTGGCTTGGTTTTAATTAATTTCGAAAAAGCATTCGAGAAGTGAAGAACAAAAGTGTATACAAACGAAAAAATATAACAACAATGCCATTGTTAATATGTTGGAGTAGTTTTGTGCTACTCTGATGTAATGCAGGGATAGAGTATATGGTCCTGCCCTAGGACATCGCAATGTTAATTGGACCATATTTTTTATATGAATTGTGGTTAATTTTGGAGTACTCCTTGATCCTTAGGGAGTACTCTTTACACGCATGCATGGAGTAGTCGGGATTTTTCCAGGGTAATAACTGATATTTTTAATATGGTGATGTCTTACGAAATATTTATTGTCCCGCTTAGCATCAACACCTACTAGTAGAAATACTAGTAGCACCACACCAGTGAACGTCATAGGCTGCCCATTAATCACTCATGAAAGGAATAAGTTTGTATTTGTTTTTGTGCCGCTAGAGTGCCTTTCGAGAGGTCCGTGGCCGGAGTTCTCAGGCAGTGGATAATTTTGTAATTTTCTTGACCTTCAAATATATAAGATTTAATTTGTATCTTTTTTTTAATCGGTAGTATTTCCATGTTTGCCAGAATCGAAAAAAGTATTTAGAAATTTTTTTTATTACATTTTTTTAATCTTAAGCTGTTTTAAGTAAAAAATGTAAATATTTTATTTTTAAAGGTCATTTCAAAGACCTAATTGAATTAAAAATTACCAACTCTGAAAAAAAATGTAAATGCCTTTTCTGGTGACCATCAAAATGGATTCAGTAATACAACTTTTTATAAAATACGCTGCAGACTGGTTCAGGCAAACAAAAAAAAATAAAAATGTAAAACCTTTCATTGAAGCTCACTTTGACCACGAACCAACGAAAATATTTTCCCTAAATTCGCCATCGCAAAAACTTTAAAACATCGTTACATTTATTTCGCTATCTCTCCTCATTCTAGATATATTTGATTTTGTCTAATTTTTTCCAAAATAGAACACTGAGCGAAACAGCATCACATTTAGATATGAGAAAAGCAATAAATTGAGTCGTTATTTTGAAAGTGGTATACGTCGTCATTTTCACTTTTTGCGACACAATTTTTTACCTTTGGCAGACGCATTTACATATAAGTAAATGATCACTCAATGTCAAAGGGCATGAAATGACTTATGCCACTTTCAAAAAAAAACACCTCCACATTTGCGTTTTAGTTTTGGCTTTGACTATTCAAAAGCAGATGTCACTGCTCCAATAAGTTGTGCAAAATTGTCGAATTGGTAGGCCGTCGCTTTAGCGCTTACCAGTTATTGAACTGGTAATTTTACTGACTGGTTTGGCTTTTCACTACAGGGTAGTACGTAGAACTTGGGTGTTTCCATATACTACTTATAAACACATCCATTAATAACACATTTCGACTGATTTAAACATTGAACACCTTGGAATATCAATCAATATGCTTAAAAACCAATTAACAAAAGAACATATGCATATGAATGTATTGAAACAAAATATGTAAAAAAAAACAATAAAAGTGTAAGACGCGCTGGGCACTGAGGCGTTGTGACGCGCGTTAATTTGTTTTGTGTTTTCATTCTCCAATAAAAGCAAATAATTGCAAGAAATTGAGTGTTTTTTGGCATTGATTTAATCAAACACATTTGCCACTAAACAACTAGGTACTCGTTATGGTAGCTTTTTCTTTCATAAATTTGTTAATTTTAAAAATTTGTTGCTTAACGCTCTTAACATACATACATACATACATATTTTTTATTGATTTGCAAAATTTTTTTGAACATTTTTAGTAAAAGAAATATTTTTCCTTTAAATATATTTACTTATGTATGTACTTTAATAAAATATTTTTTACCTTTTCAAACGTTTAAAAGCAGACCAATTTGGTTAGTTTTCAGTAAAATTTATTTATTTTAGCTGCTCTTCAAATATTCGTTTAAAAAAGTTGGTTTTCTCAAAGTTTTAACGCCTGTTATGAATATTGTTTCTGTGTTTTCTAAAGTAATGATTATTATTTTTTTATTTTATTAGTACCACCAATACAGTCAACACACAGAACATTGATTTGTTTTACTTTTCATTGGAAATTTTTAATTCTTTCATTATCATAACAAGCACAGTATATTTACACAGTATACAATATAATTAGCTCTCGGCATATTCACAATCGCGTGCACGTACATACAACAATAATAATATTTTTGTTGTTTGAGAACGATCTAGCGTCGATGCGATCGCAGCTTATCACATTTCCATACTCAGAAGTAAGCAGTAAAACTGAAAGTTACTATCTGAAAAAATCCGGCGTCTCTACGTAGCAAGGTTAGCAAGCGGCAGCTGCAGTAGCAGAAATCTGCAGTTACACTGAAAAAAAAATACGTTTCAGCAAGTGTGCGAATTGATTTTAAGTGTCAAAATGGTGTACGCTTCTCTTCTGAAAAACACACAGCATTTTATTCGGTGAGATTTTGGTGTTGAGTTTTGCACTTGATGTACATTGCATTTTCCCTCAGTTACAGAATCCAGTCCCAGATATTCCCCAAAAAAAGTTATTTTCAGATTTTAGGATATAAAAGGCGCGTTAGCCCTGGGAAACTACTCAGTTTCAAGCTTTCAAGACGTTTAACCCATAATTTTTAATCTTTATTATTCCAAGCGAAAATAAAGTGTAAATTTATTCTGATCTTTTTTTGAAGCGTAAATTAAGTACCTGTAATAAGCAATTGTTTAATAATTTTTTTTTAATGTGTTTGCAGAAAAATTTATAGGCCCGTGGTTTTTCGAGATAATTCAAGATTATTTTCAGCCTTTTTTAGAGTTTTTTTTTAGTTTCTTTATGGGGAGGCTTTTGAGATTATTTGTGATTTTTCAGGGTTTTCTGAAAAATTTTGTGATTTCCCCATTTTTTTTTTTTTGGATTTTCTGAAGCGGTTTGTTTTTTGTAAATTTTTAGTCTTCTTCAGCCATTTTCAGAATTTTTTACTCTTTTGTGTAATTTTTCAAGACCTTTCCGAAATCGCATGAACTTCCCTGATTTAATCGTGATATTTCTTGATTTTCATATTTTCTTGCTTGGTTCAGAACTATTTAAGATTTTTTGCGAACTTTCGGGCACTCATACGGATTTGTTCGTGCTTCATTAGGGAAATGTCGCGACTTTCAACGCTTTGTGTGTTTTACTCGAAACTTTGTGATCGCAATTTTTGTGATCTCCGGAATTTTTGTGTATTCCGGAATTTTTCGGCATTTTTCAGTACTATTCTGTATTAATAAAAACTTTTCGGGATTTTTCCGGTCTTTTCGTGCTTTATTCGGGCCCCTTCGGGATTTCCATTACCTTCCCCATTTTCTTCAAAACTTTTCTGAATTTTTTTTCGATATTTTTCGGCAGTACTTGTGAATCATAAGTTTTCGAGGTATTTGCAATTTAGCGTTATTCAGCTTAAAAAAATTGTTTCACTAATCACGATTATCTTATAGGAAATGTAGCAAATGAATGGTAGAAAAACTCCCCATAAACAGTATACATATATGTACATCGTTTTTCTATAAACTCAGTAGTTTTTGTGAAAATTATACAACATTACACATTTTTTCTTTTTTTATAAAAAAATAAAAAAAAAATCTAACTTTGACAGGGAAAAACTTAAATATTTTTTTTAATTTTTTTTTTCATTTGTATTAAAGCATGTTCCTTTACAAAAAAGGATGTTACAAACGAATAAAATCAATAGATATGTGTATAAAAAAGTTGTGAATGGTCATATGAAAATGCGCAAAATGTATGTACATTTCATACTTTTTTATTTATCCACCGATTTTCTCCTTTTCAAATTACTACTTGTTTTTTTTTGTAAAAGAACAGGCTTTAACACAAATGCGAAATTTGACAAAAAATCTGTTATTTCTTAAATTTTTTCCCAACATCATATTAAATTTTGAGCTTTACTAAAATTAGTTGAAAAATTAATTTTTTTTAATATAAAATGACGTCTGGTACAACAACGGACATGTTTGGCAATAATAAATCTACGTTTCTAAAAGCTAGTTAAATCCAATGAAAAGAAAATTAGCCTTACTAAAATTATTAAACAAATTAGCATTTTTAACTGTAAAGATACGATGCGCACTAGTCAACGCAACCATTACCGCCTGCCAGTTGGCCCCCACGCTAACCGCGGAAGTGACGGAGATGTCATATCAGAAAACCAGCTGTCCTCAAATTCTCTCTCAAAAACGTTGCTGCTAGACTATTAGAAATCTTCTGGGCTTCCATTATATACATTTCGAAAATTTCGTTACTTTTCGAGAATTTCCAGATTTATATGGATTTTTTAGGGGCCTTTTGGTATTTCGTGCTTGATTTGGAATTTAATATCTTTCGAAATTTTCTGGAGCCTTTTATGTTTTTTTTTCTGTAGTTAAAATACCTCTGAAATTTCTAGAAAAAATATGGGATTTTTCGAGATCTTTCGGAATTTTCATGAGCTTTCGCATTTTACTCAATTCTTTTCGGGATTTCATCATGATCATGGGGTTCTTATTCCCTTTGTATTTTATTCGGAATAATGAGAGATCTTTTCCGCGAATTTCCGAGACCTACGCGGATTTTTTCTTGTTTTATTGGAGACTTTTTTGGCTTTTCATTACTTTTCGTGTTTTAGGTACTAAGAACCCTTCTTATTTCTTCTCGGAATTTAGACGCTCTTTTGTGTTTTATACCGAAAAATCTGGAATAAAAGGATTTTAATTAATATTTCAGTTTTCCTCTGAATTTTTTTGGAATATTTTCTTGAGTTTTTAGAGATGTGTATAGATTTTTAAAAACTCTTCGTGTTTTATTCGGGACGTTCCGTAATTATTTTCGATCCATTAGTTACTTTTCATGTATTTTAGGGACTTTCTGCGATTTTATTTTGCGCATTTAAAAAAAAAATAAAATTTTATTACTTGTAGCAATTTTTTCGGGAGTTTTCGAGGACTTCTAAATATTTTTAGTGACTTATTTTTTAGTGAAATTTTTTTCGGGGCCTCTCGGGTTTTAATTATTTCTCTTGTTTACTCAGACCTGTTGGGGTTTCTCCAGTAGATTTCGGGAATTATGCGGTTGTTTTAGAGAAATTTTTTGTATATAGAGGTTTTAGATTTCATAGAGCCTGTCTACATTTTTCATAAAACATTAAACTTAACCGTAATTTTTGGTGTCCATAAAAACTTTGAGGCTTTGATTTAAATTTTACTGGTAAGCGATATTATGAAATTAGAACAAATAAAACCTCAGTGTATTTATCTGACGCAATAGTTAGCTCTAAATCGAATAAAGCGCGATCATTTGCGATCACACTCACTTAACACACAAAAACCTACATACATCGCGAATGTGTATTCCCAGCAGCAACAAGAGGAAAACTTGCTCGCAAAACACTAGTTCCATACGGCGCGTAATGGAACTACCTCGAAACTAGTATACGACTGATATGGAGCTAAACAGTTAACGCGCCATTTATTGCCGCTCATGTGGTGATTGGGTGAGTCATAAGTTAGAGACACCAAATTTTAGGTGTTTGACGATATCTTTTTCTTCAAGTCCAATCCTTCAAGTCTATTATTTCAATTACTATGTATTAAATTTTGTAATATTTGCATATAGGTTTGCACAGAACCCAATACCAACGGAAACTGAGCAAGCCATGTTTTATGTCATTATACGTACATATATATATATGTACATATCATCAAATTTAATCAGTATTTTAATGATATGCTAAAACTGAACTCGTCTAACTAACCGCAGCGTATTTTTCTAACATTACATTCAGATACCAAAAAAAAAAAAACAACAAATTGACGTCGCACTACAATGCTTACAAGTAAATTGATTGTCGCTAATCAAATAAAATTTCGTGACATAAATAAAATTATAAAAATTAATATCGAAAAAGAGGCCAAGAGCAATCTCATAAGCGAGCATCTTCCGTATGACGCCTATTTTTTTGTAGGCGTGAGAAGCTTTGGTGCGAGTATTACTGTTTTTGTATTCTGCTATCACACTGATGATGGCACGCGCCCGATCATTGCGCATTGTTTTGAGTAGAAATAATTATCTACATACACAAATACCTACATTCATAAAAATGTATTGCTAAAGATATACATATGTATGCATGCAGATATATGTACACAAAAAATATTTACACTGCCGGAAAAAAGTATTGTCACAGGGAATTTTGCTCAATATATGCATCGATTTATATTCTAAGATTTTTCCAAATTTTTTTTTTAAAATATGGTCATTCTACAACAAAAAACATAAAAATATAATTTCTAAACTTTGTGCAAACCTCGCGAAAATTCTATAAATTTTAATGCAAATTTTTCCATACAAAGTATTTTAGATTTTTTTTTGTTTTTTTTTTTTTCTATGGAAGAGACTGCGTGAAAAAAATTGCCAAAAATCACGCTACTTTATAAAATTTATTGGGCTATAAATCTGCATACTCAAAAAATTTCTAAAAAATCTGATTAAAAGTTGAAAATTTGCATGAAAGTTGCTGAATTTTCGCGAGCTTTGCACAAAATTTAGAAATTATATTTATGCGTTTTTTGTTGTAGAATGAACCATATTTTTATAGAAAATTTATGGAAAAATATTAGAATAAAAATTGTTGCATATACATAGTATAAAAAGCAGCTGTGCCAATACTTTTTGCCGGCAGTGTATATATACTACCCTGCCCACCTTTACTTCATACGCTTTGAAATATTTGTGCTTCAAGATTGTATGAAGTAAAATTGGGAATTCTATGAAAAATATCTATCGGAACAACAAAAGTGTGCTCTGCAATAGCCAGAGACGACGAGCACATTAATGAATCTCAGAGAATATGTAGTGCCAGATCTCGGCGATTGATTGCAATGTAACAATGAAGAGAGTTCGATATTGCGGCACAAACATACTTACATACATACCTACAGACATAGTACATATAGACTGTTGTGTTTAAACGTATCTTTTGTTTGTTTTTAATTTTGGCGAGTACTTGCGAGTTGAACTGCATTCGCATACAATGCGTTTATTATTGAAATCAGCTGAAATGCACTTAGCCCATGCCTATGTGTACTTTACGTACATATGCAGATACATATATAGTATGTAAATTAGGATGCATCACCAAACAAAAGTTGTGGGTTTTCCAACGGAATTATAAAATCTATTATATTTTAAAACTTCTGCCGAAATATTTCGGAAAAATATT